GACTTTGAAAGGCCTTTGCGTCTGCCATAAATTGACTGGCGTTTGCACACACGAACACTCATTTTCATAATAAAATGTTGTCATTTGGACGAGCTGCTCTATGGTATCCCTGTCACATTTCCTCGCGTAATAAAACAAAGCTTGTTGGCAACACAATTTCTTGCAGTGTACTTTAATCTAACACGAAGATGCGCTTCAATGATTATACCAATGTCCTTTACCAGTTTTCCTTCGATTTTGTACGAAGAAGCGTGTCTCGACCCTTGATTTTTGTAGTTGTTGTTGTAGACAATATGAGATTTTGAAAATGGCAGTGGAGAAATGAAAAATGCCAATTGTTAATAGTCACGACCGAAACAATGCGCAGCGATTATCCAACACAATCAACGACGATCCATGGGATCCTGAAGCTTGAGTGATGTGGTGACGGAGTGACGGAGTGACTACGCGACAGACACTATCTATTGTGCGAGGTCACCTCATCTGGCGTTGTGCTGCTACTGAACACAGAGTCAAAAGAGGGTAGTTCAATTGTATGCTATCTTTCCTACGCTTGCCACTACCCCCCCCCCCCCTGCTTCTGCTGGTAGTATAAATGTGCTGCTTGCTGGTTCGTCAGTCCAAGCAATTTCGCATGCTACGGGTGAGTCCTGTGCGTAAATTTTGGCAGAATGAGATGCAATGAATGAAATTAAATGATAAAAGATGTTGTAATGCAGCGAACGCACGCACGCACGCACGTACATATGTTGAGTTTATGAAAGCAGGACGGACGGTATGATTGTGGAAATGCGTTGCGCCGCATTTATGGACTGTGCCAAAGGTCGGCAAGCACCTGTTTTATTAAAAAGCAAATAAACGTCGACGAGTGCCTTAGCTGTGTGTGGCATATCGTAGGGGGAGGGGAAGTGCTGTGAGTACTATGAACAAGGACATTTGTGCTTCAATTCGAGTTTAGCCAGCTGAGAGTTTGGGCTGTCAAGTGGTGTGGTCGTATAGCATAATAATTGTGCATATTTGGCTTTTTAATAAAACCGAATCGTCATGGCATCGCTTCATCAACACAGCGACCGGGTGTTTGGCGTGTGCCAAGCGGTGAGGGATATGTGCGCACATACATACATGAGGGGTGGAGTTTGGCCGAGTCGATGAGAGATGAAATTTAATTAAATTTCTAAGTACTTGATATTCCAGTCCGTACATACATACATGCATACATACATACATATGTGTGTATGTAAATAAAGCAGATATATAGTTAATAAGTACGGCTCGGAATCTCATGCAAATGTATGTTTTTATTGGGCATCTTTAAATGGAAATGGTTAAGGTATCTTTATAAATCATTAAATTTCCTTTAAAATGGCATTTAATTGTTAGTTCATATTTTTGCATATTTTGCAAATAACGCCTGTTTTTTTCATATTTATTGAGCATATTTTACAATAAATGCATGTGGTTTTTGCTTTTGATTTACAACTAGATATAATATATATATATATGTATAATATAATATCATATATATAGATATAGATATATATATATATATATATATATTTATATATAATTTAAGCTAATAGGTCTGTATGATTTAGCTAAGCTAAGGGGCCTGTTGACCGTGAACCTTACGTTTCATTAAGGTGGAACAAGTAACTGTGCTGTCATGGAAGCATTCCAACATAACACTGCTAAGCAGATCCGCTGCGACCTCCATTTCGTCGATTGATTCAATGGTTAGCAACGAGTCTGCTCTAACGTTCACTAAGATTTTGGAAAGGGCCCAGTCAGTTTTCCTGGGCCGGAAAGTCAAGCCTCGGAGCTCAGATCGCCCTGGGATCTCGAATACTATGTGCGATGCTTCTACCCAGACTTACCAATTTCAAACACAATCGGAGATTGATCTGCTGCAGAGAGTGAGATCAAGTACCTCCTCCCTGACGGCAGTAATAAATGTACGTTAGCAAGCCCTGTTCGCAAAGTCTATGTTATTTTGTAAAAGGTATTCTAAAAGGTACTAACCCCTTTCATTGGAATCGGAGCAGCTCCACACCGTGTGGTGGGCATTAGCATCACAACCAATAATATACTGGCGATTTATGCATCGACAGAATTTGACGAGCTGCTGCACCTCCAACGGTGGTATAATGGGGAAGTCACCTGGAAAGTAGGCGGATACGATGAAAATTTAATGCACCCCAGCCACCTCTCGACTACAGCCGCTGAAAGGTCCATGGTCACCCTGGCGCGGTAAGTAACCTCAAGCCGGTCGTAAATTAACCTACCTGAACTACCCAGTTCTCTTACTCGTCCTCCGCTAACCCAAGGTCCTTGCGATTTTGCGTTCGCTGGCTAACCTATAAATTGTGGCCGATGCCCCCTTGTCATGCAGTAGGTTAGCCTGTAGCAACCTTATGGTACTCATTGCTTCCGCTGAAGCCACGCTTCAAAGAGACACTCATTTTGGTATCGCCGGGACCTCTTCTCCTAAGCATCGTTTTGATCGTACGGTAGTGGTGGTTTTCGCTGGCTTGGAAGCCACGTCTTCATGTCGCCCAACGGCGGCATTCAACGTGGGCTGTCGAGTCATACTCGAGGCCACGGATCCAGACGCTGTTAACGCATCAGGTAGCACATTTCCTTGACTGCTGTTTGGCAGTGATTTGGATCCTTGTCCTGAAGATACCTTGCCAGCACAGGTCTCCATCAGCGGAATCGGTTCAGGAGCTTTCACCTTCAAGTTTCGTCAAAATTTTAAAAATTTTTATTGCGATAAGAGGCAAGTTTCAAATAGCTAAGACTTACCATTGATTTTTCGTAATTTTTTTCTGGCAGTTTTGTACGTTTTCTTCCATACAAAGCAGTTATTCTATTTGGAAGAAAATGAGCACCGCCTCACAGTGGTTCGGATAGCAGATCCAGCTGGACGAAAGTCAAAATTTTCTTGTTTTTAAAATACTTAATGGTACTTGGAATACATTCCTGACAATACATTCAAATAGAAATTGCATTTATTAAAGCATTAACATATGTAAACAACCAAAAGAAGGTAAGTCAACGCCGCCTATTTGAGAACTCTATTTTAAAAGCTGAAATTTAACTTAAAAGATTGCTAATTGCACTGACAGACATTTGCATAATTGCAAATTGACTTTATAAACAAAAAATTACACTTATTCCGCTATAGATTCGGAGGTCATAACGCAATTTATGTCCACATTGGTATAAGCAAATTTATTTTGAAAAATCATCGTTTTGATTAATTAAAAAAATAAATTAAAGAGTAGGAAAAGTAAAGGCCGCCGAAGGCCGTTATAAAACCACTTGCATATTATTCTTTACACCTTCGCAAATGCAGAGGGTAAGTTCGATAACCAAATCTAACCAATTGGCTTAGATTTTTACATTTTAGTGACGGTATGTCAAATCTCAAAATTCAAACGTAATTATTAACAGGAATGTATCTGAATATAAATATAAGATCTGTGGCGGAACCACGGGGGAGAGGGGGGGTAGGGGTTGTGTGTTAAAAAAGAAAAATACTTGGAGTTATAAAAACTTTGGTTATGTAAGAGTTAAAAAAATAGTAACTCGCGAATTTTCTGCTTTCTGAAATTAAAAAATTATACAACAGGCATGTAAATCTTTAAGCGCTGTTATAAAATTTTTTCTGAAATTTATTTGTGTTTCTTGCTGTGATCTTAAATTTTAGTCATGGTAAATAAAATCTTAAGAAGTGAGTTGTTTGACATTTGGAGAAGTGTTGCTGAAACTTCTAAAAGACAACAAGGTGTCCGTGATTATGTGATTAGTAAATTGAATGAAATATCTGATGAAAATGCTCGTTCCGAAGTAAATAAAGTAAATTAAGTAAATGACTTTAGATTCGTAATCAGCAACCCAGAAAACCCCCAGATACCCAGTTACATAGAAAGCTACCGATTTTTTTAAATTTTCGTCCGCCATATTGGATCCGCCATTTTGAATTTTTGGTAAATGACTTTAGAGATGTAATCAGCGACACAGAAAACCCCCAGATACCCAGTTTCATAGAAATCTACCGATTTTTTTTTATTTTCGTCCGCCATATTGGATCCGCCGTTTTGAATTTTTGATAAGTGACCTCAGATTCGTAATCAGCGACCCAAAAATCCCCTAAGTAAGAAGTGGTGTAAAGATCCATCAACGAGTATTTGTTTAAATAGTTTCGTCCAGCTAGATTTGCGAACCGAACCACTGTGCGCCTTAAACAAAAAAAAAATCCCATAAATCAACAGTAAGTCCTAGCTCCGTCAAACTTGCACTTTATTTCACTAAACTTGAATGTGCTACAAAACTGCATACTCAAAATTTTTCTAAAAATTCGATCAAAAAACACGAACTTTTTACGAAGGTTTGTTGAATTTTCTTTTTGATATTGCATATAGTTGAGTTTATAAAAAATAACACCAAACAAATAACAAAAAAAAAATTGTTAAAACTTGTCAAAATGTGATGCGCCTATCATTATGACACGAGGTGTACTATGTACATGCATACATATGTAGGTTCGGCTATTGGGGGACCAAAAGCCAAATCTTTAGAAATACGAGTACAAGTTTTTTGGTGTATTTAAAGTAGCCTTGGTAAATAAAAAGTCGTTTGCTTCTCCTGTAAAATTTCAAACTATCAAATATAGTACATACTTGACATTGATAATGGCGATATGTATGTGCATATGTATATACATACATATGTATGTATATGGATATGGAATTATGAGTACTAATGCTGATTGACATACATACATACATATGTATACATACATACTCCCACCGAAAAATTGGTCGATTCCTAATCTATTGTTATCTTTGTACTACAATTACTCAGCAATAATTAGGTACGTACATACGTACATACATACATAAGTAACCCTACAGTAGCAATAATCAATTAGTCGTTGATTCAATATCGGCATACACATACCTATAATTTGTTCTTGAATAGTTTACATAATTCTCCAATAATAATGGGAAAAATAATTTTGTATGCCATAAACGGCAGTGCACCAAGTCGCGCAGTTTTGCTTACCCTAAAAGCATTGAACGTGCCTTTCGAATATAAAATTTTAAATCTATTAGTTGGAGAGCATCGTACACCAGAATATCTTGCCATCAATCCACATGGCACGGTGCCAACGCTTAGTGACGATGGCGAAATCTTCACCGATTCACACGCCATTATTACATATCTGGTTGACAAGTATGCCACAGAAGATTCGCTATATCCAAAGGATCTAGTCAAACGCGCGAAAATTAACCAATTTTTATTCTATGAAGCAACTGTCGTATTCGAACGCACATTCCGTAATATCAGCAGACCGTTATTTAATAACAACAATGTGGTGCCCTATGCAAAAATTGAAGCCGTCTATCAGGTCTACGAACAGCTGGAGAAATTCCTAAAGGAGCACTCTTATGTCGCTGGCGATCAACTAACTGTTGCGGATTTTTCAATAGTTGCAACAATAACTACGTTGTTCGTTTTGGCACAACTCGATGCGGGCAGATATCCTAAAATTGCTAACTGGGTTAAGCGCTTGGAGGAGTTACCCTACTATGCTGAAGCGAATGGTGAAGGATTAAAGCAATTTAGTGGTGCCATTAAGGCGATTGGCCTTAAAGTTTTGCGCTAAACATCAGTATTTTTCGATGAAATTAATTGTTAATTGTTAACTTGCCGGATAACATAATACATGCGTATGTATATATTCACGCAGAACTCCACATACATATGTACATAAATAAATGACTTCTAAGATAGTCGAATGTAAAATGTAAAGCGGTTTTTTTTTCGGCCAAACTTAGGGGTCACTGTTTCACATTTTAATATTGAAATAACTGAAATACTTCCTTAGCAAAGGGATAGGAACGAGATCTGGTGGGTAAGTACTAAAGCTGTTCAATTATCTACTTTATGTATTGCTAGGACCAGATATCGAACCCAGGTAGCCACAGCATGGGATTAGATTAAATTCAAAAACTAAATTCTACAGTTTTTTCAATATGATATGTGCTACACCTGTGGCACATATCAAATATGTACATACATACATACATACATATGTATGTATTTGTTAAAATAATTTTATGTATTAAAATGAATTCAGAATATACTAAATAAAATGCTAAGCGTTAAGAAATTGATAACATTTGGTCTTATCGTGAATTCAATTTGAACAAATATGTATTGCCAAAAATCATAAAGCAAAACAAAAACAATTTTTCCCAATCTGTTTTTGTTTTGCCTGTTAACTTATCGAACGGTTTCTTCAGTTGGAATTGGCGATATGGCTGATTATTAGGGTGATTGACTCGGTTTTTCCAAGCCGGGCTCCACCGTTTTTTTTCGGATGCCTACATTAAGGCGGTTTTTTGAAATCTTGATTTTTTGAATACCGTATAAACCGGATTTTTTTTATCAAACAAACCGATTTTTTCATTTATATAAATGTTTTGAGTTCTTCGAAGATTTCAAGGCTTTTTCCAGTTTAAGGTAAATCCCTTAATGTTTTAAAATTATATTCCAGGTTTTTTGGGGTATCATATTCGATTCCAAGAAATGTATGTTTGGCGCTTTAACGTTTTCTACGTGTTTGGTCGAATTTCTCCTCCAGTTCGTGTTCTGCTTCTTGATGCTGTGGCAGAAATGCAGAGATCTACACTTTTACTCTGTCTTCGAAGAAGCTTTTTTATGGCAGAAGTACACACGGAGGATTACCATTGTCTGCCGAAGGGCGACCGCTATTTGAAAAATAAACAGAAATCGAACCATGGGTCTCCCGAGTGGCAGTAGGCACACCCAATCACTCGGCTATGGCGCCAAGAGAACTACTCCCATCTGAAAAAGTAAGAAAAAATGCTATAATTTAATGTTAAAATAAGACCAAACGTCGATTTTTGCACTGAATTTTATTTGTTTTACTTTTTATCTAAAAAAAAACTTAGACCTCATTCTGCTTTGCTCTTTTCTAAATAAAAGCTATCTTTACTATTAATAGACTTATTGTAATTTTTGGTTATGACTTCATACCAACATAAGCATTTCCACTGTATGAAAACTATCAGTGGCGGATCCAGCGGGGTTAAACTACATGTCAGTTAGTGGCGGACCCAAGGGGGATATTATACATACATATGCGTCATATTAAAACACCCCCCGTGGGTCCGATACTGACTGACACGTAGTTTAACCCCCAAAACCCCTCCGCTGGATCCGCCACTGAAAACTATGTAAAATAAAACCGCTTTATTCGATTTTTTTCTTTATTTCAAAATCAGGAACCGTTTTTTTCAAATTGTAATTTTTCGAATAAGTCGAAGTCGAGTAATCGAATACCCTAATAGAAACCCGATAACCCACGCCCACCGCGCCAACCCTCAATCCGCCACTGTATATGTATGCACGTATGTACATATGTAAAAATAGTACTTCAATTGATTTTAGCTAAGTGTTTGGTGATTAGATTGTGTCTGTGATTTTGATGTGAATTCATTTAGGTTGTGGTGTTCATTCCTATCTTATTCGGACATATTAAATTATAAAAATGGGGTAAGTTTCAATATAATGTCAAAAATTCAACGCATATATCTTAATGTTGTTGTTGTAGCGGCTTGCATAGCCCTTTCAAAAATCGGCTAGTCTTACAATCGGTGTCGTCAAGCTAAACTAACAGTTGGCCCAGGAAACGTACAGTTTCGACGGGGTCGGACCGGAGGGAGAGGGGTATTAGTTTAGTTGGGTTGAGCGGGCATGAGAAGAGGTGGTTGGTGTCGTGGTGAGAACCTTCACATGCCAGACCGTGAATGAGCCAGAGTAAGTAATTAAAGTTCACTATCAGCAACAGCTGCTGACTGTACTCCAATGACGATACTTACAGGACGACAGTTTATGTAGGTGGTGAGGGTCTCCCTGTAAATGCCCTTTATAGTGTGTTTATACAGTGCCGGATCAAATTGTTGTCGGGTGTATTTTTGTACCTCGTCCGTCATTTCGTAAAGATGCATTCTGACGTGCCTAGGGGAAGGCTCGGCCTCTAGCAAGTGTCTGTTCGGATGCTCACGTATTTAGCACCGTAATATCAACTGCTTACTTAGCATGATGCTGTCCTCTTCTTACTTTGAATATTTGGGCCTCACTGTGTAGATGGTGCTCAGAAGGCATCTCATTGCTGTGCTATTTATGACAGGTCCGCTGTGTCCTGCTTGTCCCCGACGACCACAGGGCGCTACATAATTTAGAACGGGCCGGTAAATTGCCTCGTATTCTGCCAACAGTGTTTCTTTGTGTTTGCTCCCAAGTGCTGCCGGCGAGCGATTTGAGACCATTGTTGTAGTTTTGTACTTTAGTGGTATGTAATTGCGGTTGTAAGAAACAGAGCAGTCGCACTTGGTACACCGTCGACGTGAATACCCAGCTGCAGCCTGACCTAGTTAGTCGAGGTGTTAAAATGGTTGCTGAATATTTCGTAAAGGAGAGGGTTGGTCTCTTTGCTGTGAACAAGCACAGGTCCATTGTCGGGCGCCAATATTGAGCAATCGTCAGCGTACGGGATCATAGGAACTCCCTTTGGCGGAGGAGTTAGTTTCGGGATATAGAAATTTTCCTCGCTTTAGAGATTCTGTCACCGAAAATTACTCAGCGACCACCATTTGAGTACCTGTTGGAGAGAGGAAGCCTCCATGTTTCGGGTGCCATGTAATGGCAGACGGCTTCAAACACTTTTGACAACTCCAACGCTGCTGGGACTGTTCTCTCATAGGGGCAGTTACAGTTAAGATACGGAATTATCTGGGTCATTATGGCGTTAAGTATTGTGGTGGTGCTATGCACTTTACGGACGTCATGATGATGTTGTGCTGAGGTCAGGTGGTATGCAAAGTACGGTAGTCGTAAGGAGAGGAGTATTATCGTCCGATAAGGCTCCACTTAATTTGCTGGCTTCCCCAGTTTCCGCTGTGGGACCACTCTCCCCGATTTCCACACGTCGGAAACGATAAAAATGATCATAGGCATGTTAAATATTTTGATGAAGTAATCTACTCCCGCTGTACCCAATCTTTTCAGAACCAGTCCTTGGCCAGATATAGATCTGGAACATTTCGCTTATGTAGATTCAACTAGGGTTAGAACGATGCATATTCCATCGGGGCCAATGACTTTGGTAGATTTCGCTTTCTCGATGACCGCCTGGACCACGCCGCCGGTGAAAATAACAGGCGCACGGAGTTTTGACAGTAGCTCACTTCAAAAGGAAAGCATATGGAATATCCGCTCAAAATCAGCAAATGCAATAACGGTAACAATCGATAACTATGCAAATGACATGATAAATTATATCGAGCGATTAAAAACCTGTTAGAATTATTTGAAATAGCGATTATAAAAACAGTCACCGTATCTTTCCTATATTTGCAAATAAATCTAGGTAAATGTGACTCTGTGGAGAATTTGTGGAACAAGAATAATAGTTGTGTTTATTTGGGTTATCCAGGTCAGAATCACGATCACTGCTCACGGAAACGGTCTGGATTATTCTTATTGGAGTTGGCAGCACTAATTTAATACTACTAGCACGAGGAAGACGACATAAACGAAATAATATTCACTTAAACAAATATTTAGCGTAAAAGAAATTTATTCGAAGCAAGTTAAAACATAAGCAATAGTAGAATATATGTTTGTGCATGATAAAAACATTACAAGGTAAAATCATTGAGAGGCAGTCTGACGTTTGCCAACAATATAATTTTAAAATTCGAGCTCAGGCTCACACACACATTCTCATTTTTAATCTCAACCAACAACAATTGTGAACAATTTCATTTTTTTATTCAATTTTATATGATTTTAAAATGTTTGCAAACGTCAGAAAAAAATCATGGCCGACGAATTGAGAGAATGGTTTTACCTTCTAATGTTTTTATCATGTGTTTGTGTATACATTCATTTGTCAGTGCTACCAAACCGTATTGCCATATTATCAGTGACACAAACCAAAAAAGCGGATTATTATCAGGATCATATCCTTGTTGTTGCTTTTTTGTGCAAATTCTTTATGCGAATCCCGATCATTGCCCACGGAAACACAGCAAGCATTATAAAGTTTCTCACTTTCCATAAATTCAATTAAGTTAAGGAGCTGTTAGGCATGGCAAGTGCAAGCCCTTTTCAGAAGTCTGCCAAACTAAATAATTTCCAAAAGAGATTGCAGGAGCAGTTACACCTTGCATGTAAAGTGGCTTTCGAAAGCAGTTTTTATTTTTGAAAATCAAACTTTCCGCTACTACTTTTTGTCTGTTTACACGGTGAATGCAGACAAGTCCACTTTCAACTGTGTTAGCAGATATTTGTCTACTACATTAATACTTAAATACTCCTTATCAGTGGAATAAATTATCTATGCGAATTTCCATACGCGTCACATGGCAATACTCGATTAGTTTGACAGCACTTGCTGCAAAAATGAAAATTGCTAGTGCAGCACGAGCAAGTTAAATTTATTAATTTATATTTATTGCAATTTCAATTTCCGAAAGTGATTTCTGCAAATCTGCAAAAAGGAAAGTCAACTTCCGATTACGCATTTTGACAGCAAAATGCGTAGAAAAAGCACTTGCATTGCCACGTTTAACCGCACCTTTATATGCTGCAAAATGCAACCCTGCACATTACTACTTTCCGAACACATCCACTTTTTAATCAAACTCGCTGAAATATAACGAGTGTACAGCACAGTGATGTATCTTTTGTTAGCACATTTCTTATTAAAGCTGAAAGATTTACATAACATTCTAAAAATTTGCACTTCTATAAAAATAATTACTATAACATATATGTATGCAACATTTTATGAAATGCTCCGAATTTTTCTTCTTAAATTATGTTCACAAATCCACTTGCAGCTGTTTGAATTCACTTATGTATATCTGTGTCATAATTTTTCAAATAAATGAATGAAGTTTGTAACAAAAATCAACCTTTTTTCGTTTTGAAAATTGTGCAGTAAATATTCAATTTCTGTTTTCTCTCATCGTCATACTTTCCAATTACATAACATTTCCCTCTAAACATTACTTTTTGTTGCATCTTATCAAATTGTAAAAGAGTAGTAAGTTTTTGTGGCCACAGCTATACTGTCGCACTCGCTCGTTTTGTTTGCTTCGCCATCAAGTTCGGTGACAGAAATTACTTTCTTCGTTTTTGCCTTTGCCTTGGCTAGTGAGTTTCAATTTTTGTGCATCGATTTGCAGAAAAATTAATTTTTATAAGAAACGGTAAGTGCATTCTTTATGATAAATTGTATGCTTGTTGTTATTACTCAAAATTGAAATGCATAAGGTGTGTAATTATATTCTAATTTAGTTGAGATTGAAAATGAAGATGCAAGAATTTTGACATGATTTTTTCCATTCGTCTGCTGCTGCCTACATATACATACATATATATGCATTATAAGTTTCACTGAGCGAACTATGGAGATTTTTCGGGTTTGGCTACGTCCATGAAATCGATTATTAACAAAAACTTTTGTATACCATCAAATGAAGTTGAATATTTTGGAAATTTGTATACTTGGTCCTGTAAAAGTTACTCAGTAAAATTAATCAGCGCTGCTGACGTCGCTGCTTAACTGCGCTAGAATCGCAAAACAATGCCAATGAATCACACGAGCGACGTCGCAACCAAGATGGCGACGACGACGTTTGTTGAATTTGCTTTATCGCCCACCCCGCGAGATCTTCAATTTCTAATATACATATTTATCCACATCCACTGGTTCATGCACCTTCACACGCACGCGTTTAACTTTTTCGTTTTATTGTAAATTCATATGCATGGTGCCACTCGTATGGTAGATATAATTATATGTATGTATGAACATATGCTGCGTTTAGCTTCATTTGTTGGATTTTTCGCTTTCAATCTGCTGCCCGAGTCTCATCTTAGTTGAATATCAGATGCGCCATTTCATGTATTGCATATGTGTACATATAGTACATATCAAGAACTTGTATGCGACTTGCATGTTTGTTATATACCTACTGCTCTATAATGTTCATTCTTGGTCATGTAATCGATGCTGGGAGGGCATCCACCACAACTGGATTTAGGCGTTGTTTTTCATCCTTTAAACTTTCGTACATGGTCACCTTTTTGGATCGGTCATGGGAGGGGCCTTGTGTTTTTCGTCTTTCAAAGGTTTTTATTCACTATAAATTGCCGTTAATACTAAAAAACTAAATAATTCCAAAATGTATACCCGTTTATTTTATATGGGGAAATCGGATGTTGGGCAGAGAAATTAACGGGGCTGCTGCAACTGAGACTTTGACTGCGACTTTGACTTCGACTGCGACTGCGGCGTTGATATCGCAGCAGCAAGTGCAAAGTGAAAATTAAACGTCGCTTTGCGCAAGTGAAAAGAGACGGAGACGACAACACAAGTCTGAATTGAGGTCGAAAACAATTTAAAGCTTTGTAGTGGCCGTCAGTTATTATACATATATATTAAAAAATCACAGACTTAACAGGAAGCTCTTTAATTATTTCGGAACGTTAGTTGATTGACTTATCTTTTACTGTTGATAAGTTAATTTGTAAATATAAGAAGTGTGGAAAACATAAATAGAATAATGGAGCAAAAATTAGAGATTATTACCAAAAAAAAAAACCACGTAGAAACTACCCCGTAAACGCGCATGCACTCCAAACACTGCTCTGCCCATATTTTACTTTCATACATCTTTTTATATGTGTGCTCATACATACAAACATCTCAGGTGATGGATTTCTTTGTCTCGCCATTTTATGAACAAAGAAAGTTCATAGCTCTGAAAAAATTCGACGTCATAATAAAATGTGTATGAAATGCGCATAATATGTGCATACCTACCTTTGTATTTGTCATTCGGCCTTGTTTCTGACGTACTCTGCAGTAATGACCTTTTGTTTCTTATACCTAACCGGGCAGCACAAGTAGATGAAAATTGTGTGGAAAATTGTTAAGTTCAGTTCTCTATTTACTTTCCTTCTCTTGTAGTTTGTGATTCTATTGCCAAGGCTCAGGGCATTTTGGCATTTCATTTCTGCAACCTCGCTGGCAAGCAAACCTGTTCTGTTTATGTCTTTATGGCCTGGAACACATTGAGCGAAGATCCTGTTGTTCGCTGCCAAGGGATTTAGTATTTTCGCACACTAAGCTTTCCCGACAGTTAAGAAGCTTTCCTCTGTATATGCCTTTTTCTTTTCTTTTTTTTTGTATGGAGGGCACAAATTGAGAGCCTTCTGATTTCGCTGTCCATAGAAGAGTTTTTATATAACGTAGGTACTGCCATTTACAGGAGTTCTTCTAAAGCTGCTTCTTTAATTCATAAAAATCTTTCTAAGGTATTTATTTAAAGTTCATATCAAATATGTTTTATTACAACTTAAAATACATGTTGAAATTAAATTAAGACTGCTAAATAGTAACTTGCACATTTGTGAATGGTAAATAGAAAAAACTATTCTAGAAGAAGTGCAAGGATCTACTTTTTACCTCCCTCTTATTAGCTCTGGATGTAACGTATGTAATATTGATGCGCCTAAAAGATGCAGCGATTTCTATCCTCAAGCTACATACCTGATTACAGTACGAATGGAAATTATAATAGCGAGGTTTGAGTTTTTTAAACTGTGATTTTATTATTTCAACACTTCTTGGATAAACCTTCTATCTTCATCCTTCTCTATATATCTAAGCCTCTTGAATAGCTTCACTTAAAAAGGCATATATAAAGAATCTTCTGGTTACTTATATCAACTCAAGGCTGTGAAATTTCAGCGATGATATATTGAGATTAAGGCTTACAGTTATCAGGTGCTTTCTCAGGTGCTTTCTCGTCGTGGGAACGACAGTCCGGTTTAATGGAATTGGTTACTGCGAAACTATTGCTCTTTGTTTGAGTGATATGGTGGCAAGCAACTAATTGTGTTCGTTCCCATTTTAAAGAGATTTTCAGTTTGACGTAAATTAAAAAAGATTTCCTTTATTGCGTTTCATTACAAACATAATATAAATTAACTGTAGTATCCAGAGCCAAAAAGTTTAAGCTTTTGCTGCTTATTTTGCTTATTGTAATGTATAACGCTAAGGACGAACCTTTTAACAAAACGGCCAAGAAATGAATTGCTGTTATTTCGTGTGTCCAACAAGTTTTGAGATAAAATATTTTACAGCCTGCTAACTCACTTTTTCCTTCTGAAATAATGGCGTGCATATATTTCTGTTGAAAACATAGGGTACTTGTAATTTTCACAAATAAACTTTAGCAAACCATAGTAGGAAGCGTAGCTAATTTCCTAAGAACTTCGAGCTGCTTAAGAAAATTTGGCTCAATAAATTTTTCTTGACCATTTCTTAGGCGTTTTTTATTCATCGAAGTAAAGAATTGTTTACAAAAAATAACAAAAACAGATTTGGTTTTTATTAACCCGTAACTTCAATTGCATTTCGGCTTGGGTACAAAAATTTAAACCAATGGCTTGTCTCTACGGGCATTGGTGTTATTGAAAAGATTAAAAACAATTTATATCAAAGGTATTAAAAAATAAATAAAATAAAATAAAACTTTGTCAGTAACTTTGCTAATAAAAGATAATAATAAGATTATTTATAGTTTAAAAAACTAAAACCTCCCTATTATAATTGCCATTCGTACTGTCATCAGGTATGTAACTTGAGAATAGAAATCGCTGCATCTTTTAGGCGCATCAATATTACATAGTTACATCCCGAGCTAATAAAAGGAAGCATAAATCAATAACGTTCGCTAAATGTAATCTTGGGGAAAACTTGTATGAAAATCCCTAAACGTTTATTTTGCCTGCAATTTGGCAGCTCGGTATTTCCAAAAAAAAAAATCCATTCAGAACAAAGGACATAGGTAAATAAAAATACATACATTAAAGTGCCTAGTTAAATCAGCAACGAAAAACTCATGAAGCAGAGGCATTAACTACATAAAATTAGCTGCGGCAGAAACAGCAGAAGCTGGAAGAGTAGGTACATAGATAGACGAGCGAACGAATGCGGTTTGTGAGTACGTTTTATATGTGAATGGCAAACTGACAAAAGTGCAAAATGAAATGCGTCGACTTGTTGAAATCTCGACGACGAAGTTGAAAACTGGAATAATGATTTTTACAGACAACCAGTTTATCATTGTTTCCCGAGCTGAAATGTGCATTAGCGTTCCGCTCTCTACAGTTTTATATTAATATTAATGTAATATGTATTAACATCAATGCTAACTGAACTTTTCAAGCACAATGAAAATTTTAAACATTCATACTCACGTTGGGTTTGAAGGTTTGTTTCCGCAAAGCATTCAGTTATGTACTATTACGAAGGTTATGAAAATATGTACATCTACATATGTATGTGCACACATTTGAGTGAATGCGAAAAATATATGTATGTACGAATGCTAAAACAAATACATTTACATATATGTGCATTGACCACTTAGCCCGAAACATCTCACACATTTTTTTTTTTTTATAAATCGATAACTTTTTGTAACACCTTTTTATTCCTTTTTTTGCAGAATATTTACAACCACAAGGCAATTGACTTTGAAGATAACTACATTCTTTTATAAGAAAACTAAGTTTAAATTATAACTTGTAAAGATATATAAATTGTGGAAATCGCATATCTGCGAAGGAAATAGTGAAAACTTGTAATCATATACATCTTGTTTGCGTCTTCATTCGTTACAAATTTTACGTTATCGGCAACCGTGAGTGTGTGCGTGTGAGTTGAGTGTATCGTTTAAATCTCCAGTCACACAGTTGGTCCGTCAGCTAGTGAGTTAGACAAACTGTTAATCTAAGCAGTACAACTGACGAAAGTTCAAAAAAGCATTTCTTTGTCAATACAAAAAATATTTGTGCTACATAAAATCGCAACGGCGGAAAGTAACGTCAGCAATTGGCGAAGTAGCATTAACGAGGATATAATTCTTTGTCCACGCGTCAACCAAAAAATTTCCACCATTCCTCATTCAACGCTTGGTGCTCATTTCTCGCAGCCTTACGACGACCCAAGGCAACGTTGGAATCCAACCAACGACTACTATTCAGGCCCCATAATAGCGCACGAAAGGAACGTGAAAGCAAGCACCATTGAGGGAGGCAACAGTACCGGTGACACCAGTATCGGAGGCAGCGGTTTACACCTTGCAATAACGGCTCATCAAACTGATACTGAGCGTTTTCACGACAATCCGAGTAATCGAGGAGGAGGAGGCGGCGGCGTCAGCTGCGGCGGCCAATCACCGCCTACACCAACGGTGGGTAAAACCCTGTTAAATACCAGCCCCAATCTTTTGCCGATCACTACCGCATCGGACACTTTTAATAACTTGAAGAATTTGGTAAAGATTGATAAGGGTTCTAGTCCAACAAACGGCAACACTAATAGTGGTGGCAGCAGCTATCGCCCGAAGGGGAACAACGTTGGTGTTTACAAGAACAACGGTAACCTTGGACATATTGGTGGGCCAACTACAACCGCTGAAGACCGCGGTTTAATCTCCAACGGAAGCGGATCATCTGGTGCGAATATCAGTGTTGGAGGGCGAGGAGGAGCAGGCAACGCTTCGGGATATATTGGTACAGGATTTAATAGGAACTCCGCCAAAATTCGTCAATACGATTCGGACGTAAGCCCACGACCTCGACGAACTTACCAGGGTGACTCGTCGTCGTCGCGTTACTATAACAAGAATAGTGACACTTTGGGACAGGGCCCCAAATCTTCCGTTGGACCCGGCGGTAACGGCACTCTTATCGGTGCTGGATCCGGCAGTGGCAGCGGCATTGGACGCGCTATCATAGGTAACGAAGGTAATAGCGGACGCGGCTCTTACAACGCCGACGGAAGCAGCAACAGACGTTACAACAACAATCAAGGATCTTCAGATGGCGGCTATAACAGTGGAAATCGTAATTTAAGCTATTCAAATACTGGCGGAGGCAATAGCTATCGCCAACAACAGAGCTCACGTTACGAAAACGGAAATGGACAACAGCGGTCATATGGGGCCGCACCAAATGCTGGGTACAATAACAGTCATTCAAATAAATCAGGTTATGGACCACGTAGCGGATACAATGATGGAAATGTAAACATAAGATCAAATCACCGGGACGATTACGGTAGCAGCAATAATTATCGCGAATACGACGATACACCACGTTCACGTTACAATACAGGAAATAATAGCAACACAAATAGTTTAGAGCGCGGCAATAACGGGCGCTATAAGCCCTCTGAGCCGGGCACCGGCAACGGTCATCTACCTTCTGCTCTCCGACAAGGCGGTATTTCAATAGAAGATCGCTACGAACGCGCACCAGCAGCCGCTGAAGGCGGCAGAGCCTATAATAACCGCACGCCACCAATTCGAGGCGGAAATGTATCAGGATCATCAACAGCAGCAACAGGAATCGGATCCGTACCAGGTGCACCCTCATCCACACCATCTTCCGTAAATTCAGCATCATCTTCGTCGCGAGGCATATCGCCAAACTCGGCTGGCGCTGCAGTCAGCGCACAGCATCCTTCACCATCACCCACACCACCGCCACCAGCTGCGGGTCGTTGGGTGCCACCGTCTTTACGTCCACAGCATGGACTTACTCAGAGTGAAAAGAACGATGCAGTCTTCAGGAAGGTAAGTCAATGGGAAGATTTTTCAATTGTAATTTATATATAAGCATGCTTTTTCGCTCAAGAATTCTCTGAAGTAAAAGCAATTGTAAATTTTTTCACGTTTATAATTAGGTTCGTGGTATTCTCAACAAATTGACTCCTGAAAAATTCCAAGAACTTAGCGATGAATTGTTGAAGCTTGATCTAAACTCAATTCTCAGTTTGAATGGTGTAATATTGCTGATTTTTGATAAAGCCTTAGATGAACCGAAGTACTCGTCTATGTATGCACAGTTGTGCAAGCGTCTCTCAGAAGAAGCTCCATCATTTGAAAAAGATCCAAATAGTTCGTGCACTTTTCTGCGTCTATTGATAGCTGTTTGTCGTGATAAGTTCAATAATCGCCTGAAACGTGACAATATCGACGGCGATAACAACAATCAATTCAACAAAGTACATCGACCACAGTCACAACTCAACGTTGGTGAAAATGACACCGATGAAGAAGAGCGCCGGCACTTGGCCAAACAACGCATGCTGGGCAATGTCAAATTTATCGGTGAACTCCACAAATTGGATATGTTGTCGAAGAATGTGCTGCATCAGTGCATCATGGAGTTGCTCGATAAGAAGAAGAAACGCTCTGCCACGCCGCAAGAAATGTGCGAGGACATGGAGTGTTTGGCACAGTTGCTCAAAACGTGCGGTAAGAACCTGGATTCAGAACAGGGCAAAGAGCTGATGAATCAGTATTTCGACACTTTGGAACGCCGATCAAAATCGACTGACTATCCGCCAAGGATACGCTTCATGCTGAAGGATGTCATCGAATTACGTGAAAATAATTGGATACCCCGTAAAGTGGCGACCACTGAGGGACCCGTGCCCATCAAGCAGATACGCACTGACGATGATACAATTATCCGTACACCGTTCGCACAAAGGAATCGCGATATGCGCAATAATGATCGTGATGGTGATAACTGGATGAATCGCTTCCACATAAATCTGCAGCCAGGATACAATGACATGTTCAGCAGTTTAAGTGTGACGGGTGCATCGCCAATTGTTTCACCGTAAGTATTCCACTAGAATTAGTCAGTTTTAACTAGCAATTTTTTTTTTCAATTCGATCTAAATATCTATATCTAAATACTTACAGATTCGCTACCAACAACTCAAATCGACCCTATAATGGGCGTGACCGCAATCAAGGTGGGCGTGATGGTAACAATTACAACAGTCGCTATAATAAGCACAACAACCAAAATGCTGGACCCGGTGGTAATCGTGAAGATGGGCGTGGTGGCCGTAATAGCCATAATATGGGACGCGATGCTGACTCATCTGGTACCTCGCAATACAGTAGTGGCGGCAATCCTCTTTTGAATAGCAAAGAATTAGCACCACGCTTCAAACGCAATTTGATGTCGACAAATCAAGATCCAGTTGAGAATCTTCAAATGCGCCCAGCCGCAAACTCACTTCTCTTTAAGGCGGCTTCTCAGAACCATAAACTGCCAACAATGTTGCCAATGTCTACACCGCCAACTAGCGGTGGGGGTGGTTTTGGTAGTGGAAGTTTTAGCCGTAGCGGTACTCAGAACAAAGAACAACTATCCAATACACAATATCCGCTTCTCGGCACACCCACTTCACATATAACCAACCCAGTTCGCCCTTCATCGACACCTTCTGCTGAGTATGATATCGAAAAAGGTGCTCATTCCACCCACTTGGGCTTAACTATTGACAGAGGTCTGAAGGCGACTTCTTCTTCACCAAACTTCGGAGCTCCGAACTCGGTGATTGGAGAAAGGGGTAAATCTGGCGCGGCTGAAAATCATTCGGAATTCCAAAGCGTGTCAGATGCGGCGGATAAGAAACGCAGCACAACGCCTGTGGACGCGCAGCAAGTGGTTACTAAACAAGGTTCCGTGGAGAAGACGGCGGGCGCAGGTGCGAATAAACAGAAAAAGGATAAGGCATTCAATAAAGAAGAAGTATTGAAAAAAACTACAGCATACGTTAAGGATAAATTCTTCTACGAAACTGATGATGAGGAAGATATAACCATAACTGGAGAACAAAATACCGATGAGGATATTGATCAGAATGACAGCGGTGTGGCCAGCTCAAGCGCGAATGAAAGTAGCCAAGGCAAGCAATTTACTGCGCTGGTAGATGGTTTCTTAGATTTGAAAGTGCCTGAGAAATGTATGAAAGATGTTTGCGTTAATATCATTATGGATGTACTTGAAAAGGCCGAGGACAAGTATTTGGATCGTGTCATTAATTTCTTGCAAGCAGTGCGCAAACAATGCAACATAAAGTCCAACATTATATTGGAAGTATTCAAACAAGTCATCAACAAAATGAACGAGCGTGAAGCTTTAAATCCACGCATTGCTACACATGTTGCTGGACTATTGAGCCGTGCTGCTGGCGACGCGGGTCTACTCAAGTTGACCGATATTGCCAATTATACGGACAATGGTCAACACTACCCACTCTTCCTGCTCGTGCTACAGCAACTGCACAAATCCATTGGCAAGGAAGCATTAGCTGACAAATTTCGCGCAAGTAAAATTGATTTAATGAATAGTTTGCCAGAGGTGGATCGTAATAAGACGCGTTTAGCTGAAATTCTGGATGATCGCAATTTGGCTTTCCTGTATCCGCTGCTCAAAGTGCAAGCTGAGATGTGGAAACAGTTAACCAGTGATCCAAATCCTGCAGCATTCTATAAATGGATTAAAAGCAATTTGGACGCCAAATACTATAAGGATGCAGGATTTATTAACGCACTCGTGACCGTATTGGTGAAATATATCACACAAGTGAGTACTCCACACAACAAAAAAGGGTTATTTATGACATGCATAGTTAATAAACTAATTGTTTTTTACGTAATAAAGGAAACCACTTTGGCCGAAGGTACCGACACCAAGAAACATCCCGATCGTGCGACCATTGAAAAAGAGGAATCGCTGCTGCTTAAGTATTGCCAAATTTTGCAGACATTCCTAGGCGGTAGCAACGAGTTGCAATTGATCGCTATCTATGCTCTACAAGTTTTCTGCTTCAATGAAAATTTCCCAAAAGGTAAGTGGCAGTGGAAAATATTTTATGTATATCCGAATTAATAACCCACAATTGTTCTCTGTTATGGTAACTAAGATTTCAATCGCTTATTAATGTATTAATTTTTAGGTATGCTCTGTCGCTGGTTCAAATATCTCTATGAGGCGGAAGTTATCGAAGAGGAGACATTCATACTATGGAAAGAGGAAATATCCGACAAATACCCAGGCAAGGGCACCGCATTATTCCAAGTTAACAACTGGCTGACTTGGTTACAAGAGGCCGAATCTGAGGATGACGATGTCTGAATTTAGCGAATCCATTATTGCAATAAAGAAAAGAGATATATAGAATTTAAACACTATTTAATAACCTATTAAACTAATATAACACAAAACTAAAACAAGAAAAAAAGATTAAAAACAAAAATATAAAAAAAATACATATACATATACATATATATAAAGAAACCAAACGAAATGGATAAAGCGTTGATAGTTCATTTAGCACATCTCAAAATTAACACAATTCCAAATACAATTTAACTTACAAAAACAATTAAAGAATGCTGCAAAGAAGCGAATAGAATCGCATGCACGCTAGTTTCAGAAAATCATTAATATGCAATTATTATAAAAATATTTATACATCTTAAAAAGAAACAAATTCAAAATCAAAACGACAAAAGATCAGACTTGCACAGGAGATAATTGAAACGAATTGAATGATAATTTTTGAACGTACTTTTAATATACTTATCCTACTCCTTTTCCCTTTATGTCTCGATCCTGCAACAATGCATTATATCCAATATAAAGGAAACACATAAAAAACACATTTAGATAATTACCAATTTAAACAATTTTCCTAAACTCTGAACCGCAGCGCTCGATAATTTTTATTTAGCAAATTTATTTCAATATCAACTGAATGCTTCGACTTTATTTCTTATTTTTAAACTGAAACAAGTACCACAAAAATGTAATAAAAAACTTATAAAGAGTTTAAATCGTTGATGACTTAATACCTTTGAGAATGAAAGTTGAAAGCAGTGGATCGCGTGGCTACAAGTTTGAACTTATTAAAAGCAAACAAACAAAAAATTAAAACAACCAAATCAATTGTAAGCAAAACAATCTGCTGCCACTATTCATTTGCGTACGATTTCTTAAAACTTAAAATGTGTCCGCATACAGGCTCTGAGCGTTTTTGTGAAATTTTGCCAAATTAGCATAAAAACATTCGTGATAAATATCGCAAAAGCAAGGCCAGTTGTGTAAAATAAGTATTAAAGAAATCATGAATATCAAACCGATGTTGCGCAGAAACTAACGTATATTAAAAGTGATAATCCGGTTTGAACTTTTAAGAGAAATCTGAAATAAAGCGAAATAACAGCTGCCGCAAAAATGATTTGTTTTATTATCAATTTTTATACTTCTAAATAGGGCGAGAATTACGATCACAATCGCTATCCAATAATTGGATTTCAAAAAAAAAATATATATATATTTCTGATTCATTTTGATTCGTTTACGAGTGTGATGATTCGATAAAATATCTTGAGCGTGTTCGAACTTCAATAAATGAGGCAGTTCATCAATCGTTAATTCTTCCGACTGAATGAGAAGCTGAATAAGGCAGTTACTTTTGCTGGTAGGCGCCATATAGAAATACCAAGTAAAACCCTCTTCATCTAGTCCTACCGCCACAAGTGAATAATTCGCCGAATACTTTCAGTGGTGAAGCATTTGCGTCCAATTGTTCGATATTCTTTATTTGACACTTTTTCACACGTTCGTACCCAAAATATGGCACTGCAACCCTAAAAAGCCTTGTCGTCGATATTCCAGCAATTGCCACCGGTTTAGTCTATAGTGCGCGCACCTACAGTCCAACCCGGCTAAATAAATAGTTGCGTACGGCTCAAATCGCAACGTACTACATCCAGATATTTATCAGCCGCATTGCGAGAGTCGTGTCGAATACAAGTCGTTTTTCGAGAGTCGAATCGTATCGAAAATTTCATCTCATTGCCCAAAATTTCGACTAGACTAGTGTATTAAAACGGAAAAACTTGGCAGCACTGCATAGTTTTCGACTATTTCCGTCGTTTACTTATACGATAGTAGACAATGCCAATGTTGACGAGTCGTGTAATTTAGCCTAATTTACGACTTACGCAATGAGGCTGTATATCTCCGTATCCAAACAACCGTTTAGGAGCGAGCTACAGTGAGAAAGCGTAAAACCTCGCATACGCTGGGTTTGGGTCCTGCCACATTAAAACCCCACCCAATGAAAAAGAAAAACGCCTCGGATGAGATCCTCTTCTTTTGATGACGACCACGGCAAACGTATAAAGAACTATGATTTGAGGGTATGAACTTGGAATATCCGGACACTTAATGGGGAAGGTGCCTCTGACCGCCTGGTTAATGTGTCCTTCGGAAGACAAGGGCTGACATCACCGCCATCCCTGAAATGCGATGGACGGGGTGAGGCAAGGTAAACATGCGACGTCTACTACAGTTACTACGCAAAGGATCGTAAATTCGGTGTTGGACTTGTGGTGGAAAACTTCGTCGCCAAGTAGTGTTGTTCACCCCACAATCCGATTCTTCAAAATCTCGCTCATCTGCGGCCATACCCGGTGGCCGGAAGTACGAGGCGTCCAAGGATGCCTCGATGTTGTCTTTATGCCGCGATGTCTGAATTTGGTATCCCCGCGAAACCAATACATCTGTGTAGAATGACGTTCAGCTGCATCTGAATTGGGAAGGACCTCTCCAAACCCTTTGACGTCAAGCGCGGTTTCAGACAAGATGACTCCCTTTCATCTGATGCTTGAGAACATAATAAGAGCCGCAGAACTGAATCGCTCAGGCACAATACTTTACAAGAGTGTACAATTGCTGACGTATGCCAACGACATGGATATTATCGGTAAAAATAAGGGCTACTTACGTCTGTTCTGCCTTCTCGGAATGAAATAGAGAAGTAAAGCGAATGTGTCTGGTGGTGAACGAGGACAAGAAGAAGTATCTCCTGTCATCTCACAATTAGTCATATAATAAGCGTCTTGGCACCCTCATCACTGTTGACAAGTTTGAGAAAGCAGACGCCTTCTTTTATATATGTACGAATCAGCATTAACACCAATACTAATGTCAGCCTTGAAATCCAACGGAGAGTCAATCTTGCCAACAAGTGCTAAAGCCCTCTCTGGCGTACAAAAATCACTCTATAAATCACTCATCACGCCCGTGCTGGTGTAGAAGAAAAAGATATACTATCTTGAAAACGTGTAATTTTAATTAAAAATAAATTATTAAGAAAAGACAAAAAAATTTAGTTACTTCTCATGTGGTACACTCAGAAAAACATTCCTTGATTCTAGGGAAAAATATCTTGTTCTAAGGAAATATTACATTGAAAAGGCTCCAAAGACATGGCTGCTATAAGTATGAGTAAACGATTTGACACAGTTTAAGAAAAACATAATTCGTTATTTTAGTACTATTTACTTTCTTCTTAGGAAAAATTAACATGCCAGGGGGAATTGTTTATTTACTATTTGATAAATTATTTCATCTCCCGTGAATGGAATAGGTAGGTACATATGTCATTTTGCACGCGGCGCTCAAACAGTCTTCGGTGCCAGTCGAGAGATTCGAAGTTTGATTCGCAGAGCAGGAGATTTTTTTTTTTGGAAATTTTTATTTTTTATTGTAATTTTTAGATTGTATTTCATAAAGAAAACAATATCTCATTTATTTTTTAAGGTATTCGAGTATTTAGGTTTTTGCATATGAAATCAATTTTACAATTTGTAATTTATACATATTTGAATTGAAATAACCGACTTACTTTCCTCTAACCACTTTCAACCGTCTTCTCGCGACGCCACAGCCAACATTTACCAGGAAAGCAATTAACTTTGTCTTAACAGCACTGACAAAATTTAAAATTATTTATGGAAGTTATTATTACTTATATTGAGTAAATTTACTTCCTCAAATTAATTAATGGCGCACTGTTTTTAGCATGGACCTGAATTAAGGAAAATCTTCTCAAATTGAGTAAGTTTTTCGTAATATTAAGGAAGAAACAGTAACTCGAAAACAAGGAAACTGGTTTCTTGTTTTAAGAATTGCTTTTTTCTGAGTGTATTTATATGATTCTTTATTAGATCGGTTAACGAATTCTCCATGAATTGCAACTTTTTATGATCGACCTTTTTTTCTTTAACCCAAATCCGTTATGTGGCGATAACTCAAAAACTACTATTAGGTCCTAGGTTGGATAAATGGCAGTTGCTGTGCACAAAAATCACTGTTGACCAGTGCATAATTACACTGTTTCAAAATTGATAATTTCTCCGTATTAGATTAAACCATAAGGAAATGAACGCTTACACCTCCGATAGCAAAATACCAAAAGGATTTTTTTTTAGACTAAATTTAAAATTAAAGTTAAATTAAAAATGAATAACTGTTTGGAAAATTTGCGACATTATTGTTGTGGAAAATTTTACATAGCAAGCAGTCTGACTGGTATAAGCAACAGTGCGAAAGAATGGTATGAGCCATATTTTGGAATGCCAGTACTTTCATATCATAATTTTTCTTTAAGATAAATAAAAACATATTTTTAATAGAAAATATTTTTTTAATTAAGAAAGTCTTTTTCCCTATAAAAATGGTAGTTTACTCAGCCTTAAAAACAGTAAAAATATTATTTTTCGATAAAAAAAAACATAAAAAATAGGAAAAACTGTACCACAGCGCCACCTAGCGTAAGTTTTAGGTAAAAATACACCAAAAAATAATTCCTCGACCCATAAAACAGTATTATATCATTATTATTATTATATTTGATCGAATTTAACTAATTTTTTCCTGTATAAGGGCCACCAACTTTAAAAACGCATACAAATATGCTAAATATACTTTTGGCATTTTTTTATGGGAGAAGCTTTCATTTACTGTTGGTTTCCCCATATACCTAGAACCTTGATGCACTGTGTTATCATTGTGGATCTCTGTGTTTTTTTTTTATTTTCCGTTTAACGAGTACATTACAGATTCACTTATTGCACTTACCTATGCGCATACATATGTACTACTTAACTTCGTATAAAAATATGCTTATAAATATTTATTTACATTATTTTCATTTAAGAAGTGTATTACATAATACTTAAAGGTTGCGTGACGACAATCGATCGATCGATCGTCTCACTGCTTGCCACTCTTGATATCTTCCAATGCCTTTTTCCACAGTTTCTCATATTGCTTCGGCAATTTACTGATTATCAAAGCCGCATACATCTTTAAACCAGCACCATTGGCTTCTGCATAATATGGCAGTGCTTCCAAACGCTTCAGCCATTCGGCTAATCTCGGCCACTTATCTTTGCTGATGGGCACAAAAGCCGCATTGAAGGAGCTTACTGTGGACACAATACTGAAATCGGCAATTGTCAAATTTTCACCCGCTACATATGGGCCTTGAGCGAAGAAAGCCTCCAGCGTGGTATAGGCTTCGCTTATTTGATCTAATTTCTGCTTTGGCACCTCAGTGACATTTTCGTGAAAGAGCGGTCCAGTGATTGGCTTGAGGCAGGTGGCAAACAAGGTGGCTGCTTCATAGTACAGACGCTGGTCAACGATGGCGCGTGCATGGAAATCTTCAGGATAGAGGGTGTCGTCCTTGCCGTACTTGCGCACCAGATAGGCAGCAATCGCATGCGAGTCCACGATAATGTGTTCACCGTCCTCCAGAGCGGGTACTGTGTGCTGGGGATTCTTTTTTAGGAATTCCGGTTGCAATTGTTCTTTGGCGAAAAGATCCAATACACGGAATTCAAAGTCTAAATTGAGTGCGTTGAGAGTGAGCAGCACAGCGCGGACGGGTGGACTCAATTTGTTGCCATATAAAATCAATTTCGGCGACATTATTGGTGGTTAATATTTTTAAAAGTCCTAATAAGATTCTTCAAATCTAGTCTTCCTTTTCGAGAATTTTACTTCTTCTGTTGACGTGGCTGCTCTTAAACGTTCTCAATATAATAACTGGCCGGACAATCAAGACCGTGCATTTTTATACATCTTTACCGATAAGTATGAGTTGTGGGCGATATGAGCTTGGCCATACATATATGTATATATGCATATAAATACATACATATACATATGCATGTTCATACATATGTACATACATATGTACATATGCATTCTCAAGATAAGATACTCGCGCTTAATAATGACGTCAGATGCTTGTTTTGTAAGCGACACAATCATAAACTGTTTGTTAATTTATTTTAACAAAAGGAGGGGAAAAAGCGGTCATATCTGATTGCATACGAAATACTTTGTATGGTTATTTATTTTTAAATTGAAGAGACTACAGTAACCTTAGCAATTGATCACCTGTGTGCGTTGTTTTGCCTGCCTATTTCTCAATTATTTTTAATTAGTAAACGGTTTCGGTGTGACGATATATTTTTTGCAGATCTCCATTTGCTATTATTTGCGAACTTTTCGATATAAATACAAATATGTATGTATGTATATACATATATGTATAAGCAAGTATGCAATAACAGGTGTAATATATGTACATATGTACGTACATAAGTAGATATTGTATATATACGTATACTAGGGTGCATCACTTTCCATACAAAAAAAAAACGGTACTGTTTTTCCATTGGAATTATAAAATGTATTATACATTAAGACTTGTGCCAAAATATTTCGTAACAATACAAAGTCTTAGGTGAGCTGGATCTATTTGGAAAAAACCACTAAAATCGAGTTTTTATAAATAAAATTAGTTTTTGAAAATATTTCTTCTTAAAACTCACCTCAGATGGTAGAAGAGTTTAAGCAAAAATGTTTAAAAATTGTGTCAGCGGAATCAAAATACATTATATTTTGGGAGGTATCTTTAAATCGGTCTCTTTTTAAGAAATGTTTTGCAGAAGCCTTAAAATGTAATAAATTTTAAAGTTCTGGCGGAAGAAGCGCAACTTTTTTGGTGAGACACCCTTAAGTATACACATAAAAGTGAACAGCTCTTAATTAGTAAAAGCCTCACTTTAGAGAGGCTGCATTGATTTGACTAAGTTTAGCTTTAAACAGTTCGTAGTAATCCCAATTAGGTTCATACAGGAGGAAGAAGTCTGAAAACGCCTTTCATATGAAATTTTTTTTAGCGAAATCAAGTGTTTTTCATCAATTTAATTCTAATTTTTAGCAAACTTTTGCTCATTGATATTAATTACATATGTACCATATTTATTTGGATAATTCGTTTTGAGGGTCCGAAATTGGTTAGTAGGGCGATGAAAAATTATATTTCAAAAAAATTTAGTGTTGCTAAGTCAAGACATTTTGAAAATTGGTATTTATGGTTCGAGTTGGTTTTTTTGTTTCACCATTATTATACCAATATTTAATGGGCTACAAAACTGCATACCTAGATTTTTTTTTAAATTCCTAATAAAAAGTTTAAAATTTTGTTGAACATTTGCTGATATTCAACGAATTTTTATAAATCTTGTTCAAAGTTTGCAATTTTGACTTACCATGTAAGATAGTGAGCCATACTTAAAAAACAATAATAATAAACATTAAAAAAGCAAACAAAAAATAGTCAAAACTTGTTAAAATATGGCTTCCCTATTTGTTTACCCGCCACGGTATTTAAATTGTATGGGTAATTTTATCAGTTTTTATGGCAAAAATTCGCTTTGTTCTTGGTATCTGGTAAAGAAAACTTCAAAACACATTATTTTTCTAAAAAAAAAACGAAATACAACTGCTTAGCAAATGGTCAAAGTCGTTGTCTGTGCGTGAAAAATTTTAGTAGATTTTGTGTTCTGCTTTTTTTTTAGCTATTCAACAAAAATGTATAAAATAAAGAAACATGTAAGTACTTTTATTATTATAATCAAACGTTTTCGTGCCTGCTAACTGGCTAAAGAATTTCACCATTGCAAATATTATAAAAGTCGGAAGAAATTTATTTTATCTTATCACTTTTTGATGACTGCAAAAGTATATATAAGTGAGTGTGTGATTTGTATGTACATACATATGTATGTAGGTATATTTCTTTAATAAATCCATAAAGAGATCCATACGTAATTCTGCTGCGTCATCCTAGTCACACATTTGCCAGTCATTATGAAAGTATTTATTATATTTTTTTCGGATTATTATGAAAGACAAATGTTGGTAAATAAAACCAACACATTTTTGATATTATCGGTTATTGGCAAAATTTGTAAATACAGATCGTTAAACCTCTTTTAAATGCTTTTAAATAAGAACTTAAATTACACTTTTTTCTTGGATCTCAAACTGGTGGCCCCCATCAAATGTTGATAGTATCATCTTTATTCAAAAAATCGGCTCATTTGCTTCCGTTTGTTATACCAGCACGTTTTCTTTAAACATGGATGGTATTTGGTGGTGCTAAGGTGATGGTCCTTGGCCGAGTTTCCGCACCAGCGTAAATTGTAGCTTTTCGGAGTCGAGCTTTATGCACTGATAGGGCTTAGAGTGCTGCGCTAAAAGAAATGCCACAACCTAAACTTTCCTGTACGGAACTAAAACTGTTTATAATCTTTATTACACTGGGCCGTGAACTTGGTTTTCTCCATAAAATCAATAGATCCTAAAATTTCAAGGGTTAAACGACCGCAGTTTATCACTGCGATAAATGTTTAATCGACGACAGAATGTTTTAAATTGTAAACTTACATATTTATGTTTAGGAAAGGCCGTTCGGTTTTATCTGTGCTAAAACTAGTGTCCGACTGAACGCAATTTTTCGGACGAAACAAAACTCGAACGCTCCGTTTTTGTGTTAAATTCGGTCGTAACCCAGACCGAGCACAAAACTACGCTATTAATTATTTATTTATATCATTTGCGAAGTTATCACAGTTATTCACACCAGGTGGAGGCAGTTCTTTCCGCGCTTGGTCCTTCATGTAAGTTTTGCGGGCATTCAAAATTTAGTCACGCCATCATAGAGGCTTTTAAATCGATGAAAAGAGAGTGCGTGTTTAGATTTGACTAACTGAGCTCTTTTTACGACTTTACGCACCGTGAAATTGTAGTCAATGTGAATTTGCCTAGTCTGAAGCCGCCCTGATAAAGCCCAATCAGTAGGTTCATGAAGAGTTTCCGCCTTTCACACAATATCGTCGATAGGATTACCCTTTTTGTGGATTGGGCAAAGCTCACGGTAAGCAGCTGCTCCATACGCCCCACGAGTTCCTTCCACCGGCTTTGTACAGCTTAGTCGATGTTTCGTCGGGTCCAGGGGCCTTGTTGTTTTAAGGCCATATTATTGCTGTTTTTAGGTCATATTGGGACGTGGCCATGGCCGAGTACAACACATCACGTCAGTCGCTTCTGAATAGAAGAAAGGCTTTCAACGTTAGGGGAGGATATTTTCCGTGGCAACTTCACTAGAGCTGATTTTTAAGGGTCTTATATTATATTTATGGTCGAATACTTACTGCGTGTATCGCAAGATATTTTCTAAAACCGATTCGGCAATAGGAAGTATCAGGAGGCCAGATAGCCCATGGACCGACTCCAGCTAGGAATCCTTAGAAATATTGATGGATACGCACTTTCCAGGTTTGCCTTATTTGTCAAATTGCTCTCAGGTATCTATCCTAGCCCTTGCATGTATTAAATAGATAGTAGATAAAAAGAAAGCATCATGAGCCATCAACTCGTTTGATCCCTAAAAATCCGATGGACCCAAAGCTTTGAGGGGGTTAATACATATTTATTCCACAAAACAACAAAATGGGCTGGGAGTTAACGCTACTAAAACCGAACTTGTCTTGTTCACGAGAAAAACAAAAATTCCTTAATTCCCCTTACCAAAGCTAGACGGGACTAGTCTGAACCTCTGCACCGAGATGAGATACTTCGGTATTATCCTTGACTCCTAACTTAAGTGGAGGCGCAACGCAAACGCAGAGAAGAGAACAAAGAAGGGCCTAGCAGCGTAAAAGGGCTTTTGGGAAAAACTGTGGACAGTCACCACATACCATTCACGGTATGTACACCACAAGCATGCGACCAATTTTAACTTATGGAGCACTATTTTGGTGCCAAGCACTCGATAAAGGCAGCAATCAGAAAATAATTGGAAGAGTGCAGAGACTCGCAAGCCTGGGTATATCAAGCGCCCTGTGCACTGCATCTCAAGAAGGGCTGAACACCTAGGAAAGTTTGGAAGCCTGCGCTACTGTCGGTAAATGATGGTATTTCGGTAGAACGAAAAATGGCACTTAAAATGGAACAACGCTGAAACCAGTTTGTCTGCAAACCAAACTTGACAAGGGGTGACAGAAATTCGTTACAAAATAAATCATGGTATTTCCATCTACACCGATGGTTCAATGTTGGTCAGATAAGGCAATAATATCGCCTGCTTGATACTTGTAGTGTCTTTTAGGATCTTTGCCATAGAGAAGGTGGCTTGTCTCATATATTCCTTGACAGCCAGGCGGCATTGAAAACGATAGGCTCTAAGAATGTAAAGTCGAAAGTGGTTCGGAAACGGCATTGGTCTTTCGCTGAATCACGTCAAACCCTCTTTCTCCTGGGTTACTGGGCATATCAATATCGATGGGATATGAAATAGCCGACGAGATGGCTAAATTCGCAAAGCGAATAACTTCCTACCACCACCGATTTCTTTTATGCTTAGGTGGGTGGGAGAATACACCACAGTCGTAATTAATGGCCTATGGCTCAATCGGGACGACTGTGAGATATTAAGATCTTTATGGCCTATACTCAATAAGAGTCGTACTGAAGATCTATTGACGCTAAACAAATCTTCAGTAGGTAAGGGCTCTTAGCGGCGTCATCACTGTGCTATAGGACCAATGCTCCACCGATGATGTTTACCAACAACACTTTCTATACGAATGCCCAGCTCTTCAGACAAGGCGTCTCAAGCATTTGGAATCACGTGGCTTCAATAGTTTGAGGGAAATAGCAAAAGTGAAAACATCGAAAGCTTTATACAGCATAGTAAATGGTTTAACAGAGGTACACTATACTGACAATATGGAATAACTTCTCACTTCACACTTCTGGCACTCATATAGGGTATTCACAATGGGCAAATCTATGTTAGCGATTCGTGCGCGCCTTCATAATCTAACCTATTCCAAATTTTAATAAAACTGTTAATCTTTGCCAATTTACTAAATACAATTGAGGGATTCACAGCGGTGTCGTAAATGTCGTATTGTTGTATGTCGTAAACTTTAAAAGTTTAAATAAATGTTTAGAGAACTTGAAACCACAACCAACTATCTTTTAACACTGCGAAAATGCATAATATGACTTTGATGGTACTTTGCGAACCCCCTTAATATATTTTTTAGGCGTTTCAAGTTTACGAAATACAACAATACGACACTTACGACACCATTGTGAATACCCCAAATATAAGTGTATCTTTAATAACAGTAGCTTACATATTCAAATTACGTTTTATTCTTTTTAAGTCTAAAAATAAATAATTCTCAATAAATACAATTCATGCATGAATACAACTTACATAGAATGTACATCACATAACTGGTTCAATAATGCTATAGTTTATTTTTGAAGTACAAATATAAATTTGTTCATATTCAACAATCCAAGTTTAATAATTCGATTATACAGTTTTTCGTTTCCGTTTGCAAAATTCAACAACAATTGAAGTGCGTGAATTCCGGTGTTTTTTTTTTTAGTTTTTATTCTGTTTTCATAAAGTATTTCTATATAATTAAATAATGTATATATTGAGCAGAATTGTTCCTTGATTCTTTTATTTAAGGTGACGTCAATAAAAAGGCTTGTCAGAGGATTCTGGGTCTTAAGTTGTATGTATATACATATATAATAAAGGGCATCATATTTTCAATAATACATTTTGTTAATACTAATCCACAACGTTACAAGAGTATTTTTTAGACAAATACACGGTAATGTATATATGTATGTACATATGTACACACATTAGGATGCATCACTCGCCATTCGAAAAAAAAATTAGGTACTGTTTTTCCATCAGAAGTATATAATGTATTATATTTTAAGACTTTGCTATTTGGAAATATATCCAAAATCGAGTTTTTAATAAATAAAATTATTTTTTAAAAATATTTTTTCTAAAAAATCATCTCAGATGGTAGAGTTTAAGCTTCAAAGGTCTGCATAAGAAATGTTTAAAAAGTGTGTCGGTCAAGCTCATGTAAATATAAATATTTTTCCGAAAGTCTTAAAATGCAATAAATTTAAAAATTCCGGCGGAAAACAAAATTTTTATTTTTTTTCTTTTGTGATGCACCATAATGTATGTACATAGCAATGTGACTAGGTAAGCATGTATATACATACATATATGTATACTCGTACATATGTACTTGAACTTTTTTATCTACTTACATTCATACATATCTACATACAATATTCAATATACCTTTTTCAATTTACGGAAGTGTGATGTTTTCTTGTGCGTTACATTTATATTTCAAACGTTGTAAAATCAGCTTTTTTCATAAATTCTACTAATCCTGAACATCTCACCTTCCGCCAAAATCGATGAACTTGGTAATGAGTTGGATTATGTCATCCTCTGGAAAGCTATATATATTAAATAACTATTACCAATGAATTCGCAATTGACGAAGACGACATTCATCAAGAATAATAAATCGTGTTTATAGCAGGCTAATTGAAAAAGGAACTACGCAGTCACATAATATTCACGTTGGCGTTTTTGGCATTTTTCACGTGCAATATAACATAACGCTATGGTTATGAGAATCGCAATCGTTACGCCCATTCCTATGCTGACCCACATGATTTCTTCGTTGATGCCAACATAGGAGCGTCCTAATAATTAAAAAAAAATAAATAATAATTATATATAACAATATAGATTTGAAAAAATGTACATATATTATTAGTGGAGTGATCATACATAAATAAGTATACATTTGTACACACAGTGGCGGCAAAATAAATAGGGACGCGACATTTTAACCATTTTGGCTCTTGTTTACTTTTGTTATATTTGCTTTATGAAAGAATATACATTTCACTTCTAACAAAAACTATGTTAGTCCAAAGTTAAAACTTTGTACAAAAATTAAGAAAATTCGACAAAGTTTTTGTTCGAAATTTGAAACTTTTTAATCTAAATTTTTTAAAAAAAACGTGGTCAAGGCGAATTTATACAAGGTGGTGTTGATGGCGAATGTAGATTTTCGCCGCGGTACATATTAATGTCAAAATGATGCGTTTGTTGTAAACCAGGCGAATTCATATTACAACAAACACATCATTTTGACATTAATAAGTACCGCGGCGAAACTCTAAATTCGCCATCAACACTACCTTGTATAAATTCGCCTTGAACGTGGTATGCAGTTTTGTGGTCCTTTGAATTTTAGTGCAAAAAACAAAGTTTGAAGTAACTACGGCGTTTTTTTGCAAATTTTATTTGCTGAAGGTGTCACACATTTTCTTCCAAACAAAATGTGTTCGAATTTTTTTCATATCGTCGGTGATACTGCAAAACGTTCTATGTCACTTATTACCTCTGGGGCTTAATTGATCTATTATTTGTATCTGATCGCTTCTGCCAATCGTTCGTCTTCATCAGCCAAAGGTAGACAGTGTTGTCATTCGTTTATTAGGGTGTAACGATTTACAGATACATTCCGGTGCAAGTAAGTGTCAAGGGTACTGATAGACATAGACCGTTTTGCAGTATCGCCGACGATATGTACTTATGAAGAAAAGTTTAGTAGTGCACTCAGCAAGAAAAATTCCAAAACATTTGCACTTTTTGGGCTACAAAACTGCATACCTAGAATTTTTTTTTTAATCTTGCACAAAGTTTGAAATTTTGATATACAATAAAAAGTAATAATAAAGATTAAATAAACAAAAGAAAAAACGACAAAACTTGTTAAAATGTCCCGGTTATATTTATTTGTCCATATTCACATGGAAAATAATATTTATACAGTATCTCCTGGTTACCTGGCCCAGGCCTACATAGTTTATCCGCTTATTTTTTACCAATAACGCTCTTACATCTTATTACATTAAACGAGCAATTCTTGTGTATATATATTATATATGTATATAGTAGTATATATTTATCACTTCATAAAGCGCTTACCATTATAGTAATGATTGGAATATCCAGCTTTACCGGCTACTCGACCCGCTGGCATTTTGGTGGTATTATATAGCACGCTTTACTACTGGAAATATGTAAATCAAATAATATTTCGTCTGTTTTTGAACACTGTAAATGCTTTGTTTTTGTTGTTGTTTTATTCATTAAATTTTTGAATTCGTCCAAGCCGCAGATCGAAGCAATCGAATGAAGGCATTACAATGCGGAATTACCATGATTTAGTACTAAAAAGAGAAGGAAATTTACTTATTAATTTATTTATAAAATATATTTTTTGGGGCTAAACTACTATGACCTAAATTGCTCCAAGGAAAGTTATTTTAAACTTCGTTGAGTAAGTTTTGTTTACTTAAGAGTATCTTCTGTGAGTTTATAGTGTTTTCTTGGGTGCAGTTTAGAGCTTTTGATATAGCATTTTTTTAATACTTTTTGAAGGAAGAAACTTTAATGTTCCCTCTCGAGTGTCAAGACACATTCGAACTCTGGTTTTGAAGCCATGCAAAACTAATTTTGGATTTTCGTTATTTATGTCAAGATTTCAGCTCTCATTCCAATTCTTTTGACATATCGGACTCAAGTTTTACTATAAGGAAAACTCCCTACAAGATTGTGTGATGTAAACTAACACATTCTCATTTATCTTACTAACACATTTGCAAATTGTGCGTTGGGTAAAAAGAGACCACTAAATAAGGCCATAAGCCGGAAGAAGACGGAAGATCACATGTACACGATTGTTTACATCACGTTCTGCATATTGCTCTTAAAAAGTTGATAGAAGTACTTGATTGAGATCTCCATCACCAGTGAGTATCACATGATCAATCAGATGACTATCACTGTTCTTGTAGGGCTATCATTTCCTCTTTAAATGATTGAAATACTATTTTTAGCATATCCAATCAGCTGATGAATTTGATTCTGTAGCTGAACAGTTTAAGATCTCGACACTTAACAAACTCCTGTTTCCACGACTCGGCACAAAAAAAAAAAAAAAAAGATCGGAACGTCATGCGGACTGCGTTCCTCGTATCGGTTGGGCGGGAATTAAGGGTAAAACCGTTAACATTAATTAATTAAAGAGGAAAAGAAAATCCAAATACTCTCACTTTTTCACGCAACTAGCGAAATAAATTTTTTTTTTACAAACGGGTACCCTTCACAGCTTCGAAAAGGCTAAACAAGCAAGAAACTAAAGCTAAAAAGCTTAACCAATACTTGTTAAAAAAATTAAGGCACGGTACTTTCGCGCAAAATTCTTTTTCGTGTAGGCGGCCTTCGGCTGCGCTTCAAAAATATAATCCTCATCTGTCCAACCGTATCTTCGCTCAGTATTCTTCCGCGTAGGCGGTTAATATTAAATAATAAAAGAACTTTTAAACACAAGTGTGATCTTTGTGAAAAACATTAGGAGTATTCAGCAAATCCAGATTAGCTAATCTGCTCTCCTGCCAGAGTGCTACATGCCCAATTTGCTGAATGCCTATATTAATTTCCGCTCGTCAATTCCGTCGTGATAAGAAAAACAAATGCGGCCATACGGGAAAACCAACTTTAATTTTCAATAGAACAACTGTCAGAAAGCTTTAACTAATACTAGGTTCACATATAAGTAGATTATCCTCGTTTTCGAGCTTAACACCCTAATCTGTAATTATGACAAGAGATTCGTCCCTTGTTAATCTGTAATTATAAAATAATCTCAGATTTAACCGAAAACTTTTCGGTGTCCATCCTAGTTTTATCGATTGTTTTTGCGAAAGA